TCTTCTCTTCCTCCTCTCCCTCCCTCCCTTCCTCCCAGTCCTTTCCTTTACCTCCCTCCTTCCCTCTCTGTTTTATAAACAATGCTTCACAGGTAAACAGTGTGTGGGTGGAGGGGGCATTATTTTTCCCTATTAAGAAGCCCATGAGATGTGTGATCATTGTTAATTTCCTTAGTGCTGAATTCTTGGAAAGCCTGTTCTGAAATGGCTATGCTATAGAAACCTGAAAGATGTCTGCATTTTTTTTTGTTGTTTGTTTGTTTTTTTTATTGATCACTTTCAACACACAAAAAGTAGTACTTCACAGGGTGACATCCAGTGGAGTTTTATTGGCATTTCAGCCAGCGGTGTTAGTACCCTGGCCATCAGCAGGGCTTCAGTTTGGGTTCTGTAGGCAGCTAGACCTCGGAAGGGGCAGTGAGAGATACACATGGCTGGGAGCCACTAACAAATATTGCCCAACTTCACAGACACTCTGGAGGAGAGAGAAGGAGCCCCACACTAGCTCTGGCCTCAATCTAGTATCACCCCCTTGGTCAGTGGCCAGCAGAGCCCAGCATAAGGAGTCACTTAGATCCCAACTCTGGGCCTGATCTTGGAGAAACCTGGAGCTCACCACAATCCTCGCAGTTGAGTACCAAACAGTTCCCTACATGGGGTTCTGAGAGGTTTACCTCCATGTTTCTCGTGTGTAGAACTCATATGGGCAACTATGGTCTAGAATTAATAAAAAGGCCAGACAGGCGTTGTATTTGTAAGGTAAGGGCTGCAGAGATAGGATCAAGGAGGTCATTGACCAGGCAGCTTAGCCTACTTGGTGAGCTTCAGGTCAGTCGGAGACCCTGTTCCAAAACAACCAGGCAGATGGGTCCTAACGAACACACCCAATGTTGTCCTTTGGCTTCCATACACACACACACACACACACACACACACACACACACACACACACACACCAGCCTATACAACCATGCACACAGGTGTACACATACATGCATATGTAACACACACACACACACACACACACACACACAGCAAGAAAATGCTTGCTAGCCATCACCTCCAACCTGACACCCTTTTTGAAGAAATAGTACATTATTACTGAATTTCCCAAAGCTTCCTGCAATAACACAGCCCATACCACTCTGGACTTGCAAGTTAATCCATATCTTTAGGACTCTTCCTTTGGATGACTAATTTCAGTGTCAAAGTATGGTTAGGAGGCAGTGTGAGCTCACCAATCAGGGAGGGAAAAAGTCTAGCCCAGCACCTGCTCACAGCAGTTGCGAGAAAGACTTGTGACGTGGATGCTCAAAACAGTTAAGTTGCATGAATAACAAATTGCTCTGAGGCTCTTTTGCATGTGGCTTCCATTCCATGGGCTAAAGAGTGGTAGCATAAGGCCAGATTCAAGTGCTGTTTTGAGTTTCTGGAAAATTTAAAGCTACTTTTTTTTTAAAAGATCTTTGCTGTGTTTCAAGTATTTGGATCATGGCAACTGCCCAAATTCAAAATGCATTTTACAGGAGAATTTTCCACTTAATTGTAAAATCCCTGTGTGTTTTAAGGAAAATTCAACCCACATGTGCCGTTATTTAATTTACACGTAACCATAAAATAGTTGTTTTGTAAAAGTCTGAAGTGCTAAAGCATCCAGTCAGGCTTTGGTATGTTTTTTCCATTTTGCCCTAAGAAGTGGGAAATCCTGCATATAACAAACTCAAGAAACACACAGTGGGAAGACAAGGGCTGAGAAGGAGCTAAGAATTCTGGGTGTTCTGGCTGGATTCCCATGAGGGGCCCTTTCTCCTCCTCCTCTCCCTGTCCCCAGGAAGCGGGTCTCCATTAGATGGAATAGAGACTCCTTGTGAGCCCGTAATCAGCTCTTTCCTTAGGATTTTTAAGGGTTGGACCCTGTGGCGATGACAATAGCTACTCACTGTGGCCTTGATTTCTGCTGTGGGCGAGAGAAGACTCCTTTCCAAACCTCAAAAGTAAAGCCGAGGTCCCTTGTGAGCCTGCAAGATAGCCCTGCTCGTAAGGATGCTACGCCAAAGAGCCTGCTCCTGAGACAGGAAATAGCTCACTGTAAATTAGGGCTTAATTAAATATGTGGGCAAGAAGGGGAGCATAGTTAACATGCTTTCCAGATCTTTCTATATGAGTATCTGCACAACACTTGGGAACAGCAAGCTTTTTCACCACAAACATTAGGGGGTTTGTGCCCAACAATTTTAAGTGTCCCTAGTTGAACTTAATGTAAAAATTAGCATTTGGATAGGCATTGCATTCACATCACTCTCTTGAAAACCCACCTAGGGAGTGAACCTGTATGTAGAAAATATAGGTATAGCTCCAACACATTGCCCAGCTAGGTATCTGAGATGTTGGAAAGACATGGAGTCAGATGGGTGGTGGTGATTACAAAATTAAACTTGAAAATTCTTTCTTCATTAACACTCCATGGCTTGCTTGTCTTACGAAATAATTTGGAATTCCAGGTTTATGGAGCTAAAGCCTTCCCAAAGATTCTATATAGTACAGATTTGAGTATTTCTACAATGCAAAGAACCTCCTTGTAACACTTATTGGAAACACAGGAGGAAAGGATGACCTGACATGTATTCTTAGAATGAACATGCGTCCAGGTCAGGTTCTGGCTTAACATTCTTGTTATAGGTGAAATCTGCATCATGAATGGCTTCTCTTGTGCTTTGTCCCACAGACATTTATAGCGTTGGAGGAGGAGAAAGTCAGTGTACCAAGCTAGTGAAACTTTGAATTCCTCAGTGCTGCTGCTGGCAGAAAACTTGACACATGCTGATCTTGCTAACCTTTTAGTGCCGGGCAGCTATCGTTGGGGAGAGCCTCATCACGAAGCTGGCCTTCTACAGCTTGGTCTACACAGAAGTACCAGGTACAGTCTGCATAGAGACTGGGGGAAGCTGTAGATCCTCGTGGGGGAGAGGTATGTTCCCATCTGAACAGGTCTCCCAGTTGGTAATCACTTCTGTCTCAGTTCTCTGCTTGCTCGATCCTATCCCAGGATTAGTTCCAGACTCTGGGGTTGCAGTCCACAAAATACCATTTATGAAGTGAACCCCAGAGAGCTGGCTGGTGACATCACCCTAAATAAACTGTATCGTTTTTATAAAAGTGTCCTTTTAAAAATGATCTTAAAATACATGTATTATATGTCTTATACAGCTGAACTGCACACTAAATCTTTTCAAGTTAAATGGTGGAGATAGGTAATCAGGAGACAGATACTTGCTGCCAGAGAAGATGACAAGGATGTGTTAACCTCTTGCAAAAAGATTAGTCATTTGTTTTAATTTTTGAAATGCTGTTCAGGCTGTTCTCAATCTTACAATCCCCCTGCCTCTGTTTCTTAAAACAAAACAAACAAAAGAAAACCTCATAGATGTAATGAAGCCTTTTGGCTCATTGTGATCAGCTCTTATCCTGGTTTCACTCAGGGACATTCTTTCAGAAACTATACTTTTTATTTTTTTTAACATGTTATATCGAAATGTTTTCATATAAAAGTCATCCCACATCTGCCATCCAATAATGTGTTACTACACTATTCCAAGTTCCTACTAATTTTTCTGTAAGGATAAACTTTGTGTCAATACGGACACTGTTGTTCTTGAACTCTGGCCTCACTCACAGACAATATTCTCCTCCTTCCAAACTGTGAGTACTTCCTCTTCTGCTTCCTGCCTGCAACCAGTTTCTGCTCTCTGTCCTTTCTTACTGGGTATCTCTTCCTTAAAGGCTGAAGGCTGCCTGGACCAGTGGCTTTTCCTAAAGCTCCGAAGAAGCCTGCTAACTGTAGTTTTGTTTTGATTTCTGTAAATGTGCTCAGGCCTCCACCTGCGAATGCTTTCTCTCCATTCCAGGTGAGTTGATCTCAGCTTTCAGAAGACTGAAACTAAGCGGAAGGAGCACGCACTGGAGACACAGCAACCCAAATGCATAGCCATTTTTCCTGAAAAACACAAAATGCAGCTTTCTCTGTTTTGTTCATGGATGATCCAGAATTCCTGAACATAATAGGTGTGCAGTAAATGTTGCCTGGGTAATTCAACTCCTGGAGTCCAGCTAGGCTGTTAACGGTTGATTGTTCTCAAATGCTAATCCTCTAGCCCAATTTCTTTGAGATTGTAAAAACCCATGTGTGACCTTTTGACCCCCAGTTTCCCTGTTAATTTTGTGAAACAGGGGTTGTGATCAGGTGAGCAAGTGCTTGAGACATGACCTCCTCTTTGTTAAAAACCTTAATGACAAAATTCTCCCAACTCACATGCTGTGCGCAGAACTCCACAAGGTAAAGCGGCTGAGCTGTGAGAGTCGGGAAGCCTTTCTTGCTTCTGCCCGGGGTAGGGTGGCGTGCAGCTAGTGTCGCATGGAATCATGGGTGGTATCAGCTTTTGTTGGCTGCAAAACTCCGGAGGACGCTGGGCTTTTCTCCTGATGTGGTGCTTTTGAAGGGAGAGCGTGAGAAAGTTCCATCCGTAGGCCTGAGCTGTGGAAACAACCTAGTTCTCCAACGACAGAGGTTCATATGAGCTAGAGTCGTGTGCAATTTTTTTCAGCAATGAAGAAGAACAAAGTTGCATCTTTTTTTTTTTTCCTTCAGGAGATAATCATATTAAGTGAATTAAGCCGTCCCAGGAAAATGAATATGTGCTTTCTGTTCTGTGGTCCCAGGGTTTTGCCAGTCACACATAATCATGTGTGTCTACAGAGAATGAGAACTGAAGTAGAGTTGTCTTGGAGAACATGGAGGACAGACAAGAAGGGAGAATGAGAGCAAAGGAGGGTAGGAGGGAATCACGGGGGCATGCTCAGCCTACAATACAGACCCACACGGAGACGGAAAGTAAAGTCATTCCTGAAGGATGGGCCGTACAATCACATCTTTCCTCCTGATAAAATGCTGGGGCCCGGGGAGGTGGGAGATAGTACTTACAGAGCATGTGATCCTTTTGATTCGGACCCTAAATGACTAAGAATGCACACCTGTAAGTGCCCCCCCCCCACTTCCTCCAATCCCCATAACTAATTTCCCCACTTCTTATTGTGTTTGAATTACCTGGAGTAAAGCACGCGGCAGCCCCTCAGCCGCTTGTCATGAGCACTGTATCCATCTGAGGAGGAAAGTATTAGGTTAGTCAGGTGACAGGCAGGAATGGGAGCCATGCACCGTATACCCAGTGGCCTGAAATCTACAAAAACGTATCAATTCTTTTGGAGATCCTCAGCACAGACAAGAGAAGGGTAGAAGGGGAAGTGTTCAGGTTGCATTTCTGGGCAGTCCTTTTTACCCTAAACCCAACACTCTGAGAACTGAAATTTGGCCCCTTTGCGAGATTAGGCTTCCCAAATTAGCTGTCTTTGGTGACAGCAAAAATACCTGCCTGTCCCCTTAAGCAAAACTCTCCCACCTGAGTGAGAAACCAGAGGCATGGCCCAAGCCCAGAACAGGTGTTTAACAGGATGCTGCAAAGCAACAGGCTTCCACACGCAGTACCTCTGAGCACATTGCTGGAGGGATTTGGCCGTGTGAGGAGCCTTGATTACTGTGGGGCTAAATTAAAGGCAGGTTCTGTAATACTGGTACAGGAATCAACAGGGGCATATTTGTTGGCTCATATGAAAAGTCCTAAGTCTTGTTGCATCTTGAGAAAGTGGGCATCTTTTAGTGCAGTCAAAACCTGTGGTAAGAAGTGAGTTTTAAGTTCCTGGCTGTCGGGATGTTTCTCCATGGAGGGCTATTATTATTATCTTTAAGGAAAACTACCCTTAAAAGGAAATGCTATAAGAGTTGTTCTAAATAGTGTGTGGAATGTTGGAGATGCTTTCCCATTCGGGCTTATTTCACACACTAAGTACCTATGTGGTGTGAGCAGTGTGAGCCGCAATGGCATGCAGAGGAGAAAGGTGAAGCAGCATGAGGAAATGAGGTTATGTTTGTTTTGCGGAAAACTTTGTTCTGGAAAATGCACACCCTTTCTTTAGAAATGCAGTTTCGTCAAGAAATCACAGGAAAGAAGTCCTCTCCCAGTTCAGTGTGAATTAGGACACCCCTGTTCCCCGTGCCCTGACTCTTTTCCTCTCCATCCTTGGAACCACACAGAAGCACACGTTTGACTGTTCATTCATGGAGCCCTGTGTGACCATGAGGTAGGTGTGCTATGACATCCAGAAGCCCCTAACCCCTGCCTAGTGCACGAGGCTTCTTGATACAGTTGCTTCTCTCTCAGGATTGAAGGGAGCAAAATCATAAGCAATATGTTTGTATTTTAGAGCACTAAAAAGCGACAATATTGAAATTTTGAACTGGGCACAGTGTTGTATGCTGGTAATCCCAATCCTCAGGAGGCTGGTGTAAGAGGATTGTAATTCTGAGGCCAGCCTGGGCACTACATACTGAGACCATCTCAAACAAACAAACAAACAACAAAGCCCACCTCACCATGCAGAAATGTCACATGATTCAGACGGCAGTTTTCCTAAGGCACAGCTCAGGCTTTGCTTCTGGGATATGTTGACATTCTACCCAGTTCTAGAAACTTGGATGCACAATTCGTAGTAGTGGGGGACTGCATTCAAGCTTTTCCCCGAGGAAGACAAAGAATGTGAACTTTTTATCAGCGACTGATAATCTAGATGAAAAATAAAATATCTCCCTTTTTATTTGACAATTATAATGGTTTGAATATCAAAGGGTGCATGTTTTTATTTGAAAAAATTTCAAGACTTTATTTTACATTTAATTTTGTATCTCTGTGTTGCAGGGTGTGCACATGAGTGTAGTTGCCTATAGAGTCCAAAAGAGGTCATCAGATACCCTGGATCTGGAGTTACAAAAGGTTTTGAGCCTCCTGACAGGTGCTGGGAAACTTGCTTATGACCTCTGCAAGAGCAGTAAGCATTCTTTACTGATCAGCCATTGTCCCAGCCCCAACTTTATTTAAGAGAACACATAGTAAGAGCAAGGAGCTGTGAGGGCAACAGATGTTTCCTAAAGATGCGTAGGATGCTGGATCTGGGTCTGAGCTAACATCTGGGGCCTAGCCACATGGACTGTGAATGTACTGATACATCCACAGAATGTGTTCACATAGAGTGAAGACATTTAACGTGGACTGCAGGAAGTACTTGGGCATAAAAGGCCCTGATAGTGGACTGTAGCATTACCAACAGGGCCAGGAGAAGTGCATACTAAGCACAGACTCTCGTGCCTGTGAGTAGGGGGCCCAAATGGGGCTCCTCTCTGCATCCACAGTAAAGCCCTTTAGCAACCTTGGACCATAATGTTAGCACTCCGTTTAGAGAGAAGACATTCACAACCCCTTAAAATTCATGATCGTTTACCCCTCCGGCTCTTGCAGTATGTTGTGTGTCCTTTTTGATAGAAATCTCTATAAATTTAATATTTGTGATTAACTGTTTAAATGCAGTTCTGCTTGTATTGTGAGAGGGGAGTCCTCTTTTCTTTGTGAATTATACCTATGGGAAACCTAGTTGTTTGGGCCACAGAGCTATAATAACAAAGGCTCAGGAGTCCATGTGGTGACTTCTTATCCTACACACGAAACAAGTGCCTGGAAGAAAGGTTCTGGCACAACTGGGTAGAGTCATGGCATAAGTCTTAGGCTGAGGTTGGTGCTCTGGTGTGGACTTATCTTATGGTGGCCTGCTGGTCCAAGCCCACTGCCCATCTTTCCCACAGCCTTGTTCTCTCCCACAGAGCCAGGGAAATAGCTTTCTAAGCTGTTTGCTCATTGCTAGGCACAGCTTTGTTCTGGACCTTCTTGGGCAAAGAGATTGAGGACACTTTGACACAGTGGCGCATTAGTAGCCAGGATCAGCTAAATCTGGGGGACCTGGCCCAGGATCTGGCCAGAACCAGGTCAGACAAGTTTAAATAAAGTTCAAAAAAAGGAGGACATGATCCTGTGTGTATCACTGGCTGGCCAGGTAAAGAATGATGCTCTGTTCCTTCAATAAACATTCAGTTTCCACACAAGTATATTCCAGGTCATCATGGACTCAGTGTTGACCTCCACCTGACTGCTTTATGCTCTCCTCATGCCCTTCACCTGGCTCTAGCCAGGCCAGGTGAAGGTCTAGTGTTGTGGATCATCACTCAGGGTTATTGCGGGATAGTAACACAAATCACGGCTCTGCACTCACCATCTGAAGGAAAAACCATCCAACCCATTGGCAAGTCCAGGATTTTAAACTACTTCCAAATAACCATGCTAGAGAAAATGTCATAATGTCATTTAATCTTACTTAGAACAAACTGACTTTTACCAAACAGGACTCTTGTCTCCTGGCCCCTATGAAGTATTGACAATAGATTTTCCTTTTCGCTACAGTATCTGTGGGCTGCAGGAAGATGCGGGAAGCTCCATGCAGGAACTGACTCAAGCCAGTCTGTAACATGAGCTCTTTACCAGGTATTTCTCTGGAATCCAAGACAGAGGAATTTTCTGGAGCTCCACGCAGTGGATAAAGCCAAGGACCTTGTTGTCTGACTACAGTCTCCCTGTTACTGCATTTTATGTCTTTGCCATATGAATTGAGACCATTTCCAGCACGATGTTCAGGCCCCAGATGGCTAGGAAGACTGAGTAGCAAGCTGTCCGTCCTTCTCTTGGGAGTAGAATTGTGTGGACCTAAGCACATATCAGGGAAGTGCTACAGAGGTCTCTTTTCCTATTTGTGAGATCATTTACAGGAATACATCCCTGCCAAACACTTCACCTGTGCCTTTGATTTTTTAACCCCTCCCCCCAAGAAATCCTGTCCATAATGATACGATTTTGGCCTTTGTGATGCCAAGCAGCAGTGGTGTCCCTTCCCTGGGCCTTTTCACACTCTGTCTAATCCTCTGTCCCCCTTCCTGTGGCAGGCTAGTGGCTGTCCCTGTCCACAAGTGATGAGCGGCAACACCATTATAGGATTCACTAACAAAAGACTTCCACGATCATTTTCTAGCATCTTGGAGATTGACAAGGTCCCCTCCTGTTTCCCAAGCCCATTTCCCCCTGTATTCCTGGTGATTTCTTTTCTTATACACCAGAAAGAAGGCGCCTCGCTGAGTGGTGACCTCTCAGCACACGGGTACCTGCTAGAGACAACAAGCGTCACGTGCTCAAACCGCCCCTTGATGTGTTGGGATTGGTGTGATGGGCCCTGTTTGATATACGGGGCTGCTTAGAGCTGCCTTTAAAAAAAATCAATCCATATTAAAAATAAAAGTTCCTTTTGAAAATTACTGTTCCGATTTCTTTGGGGGGGGGGGTGCCACAAGCCAGCTGAAAGTGCTGGAGAGAGTCATAATGAAGCCACCAGGACCCTGGCAGGCGAGGGAAGGAGGAAAGGCCCTGAGTAAATTACAACACTTGGCAGGTTTCAGCTGAGGGCTCACTTTCCCGGTGATGCCGGGTTTTGTTCTCTGGGTGAGAAGCCTGCAAACTTTGCAAAGATTTTCAAGATGTCAGTTTTAATCAGCTACACAGTGTCTTTCAAATTGGTAAATATATATGTATAAATGTATACACAGTACACACACACACACACACACACACACAGAGTTTTAGGAATGTGTGGGAAATAATAGCCTATGTGGTTATCAGGGCTAACTGCTCCTTTGACGTTAAACACACTAGACCAACGCTTCATCTTCTCTCCTTCCTGCTAACAGATTTTCTGCTTCACTTTTATTTAGAGTAAATAATATTTGCTAAAATAAATAATTTGAAGGGACGAATATGCTTTTTTTAAAAAAAAAAGCAGAGTTCATAAAAACAGAATTGAAGGCTTGCTTTTTTATAAATATTTTTTCTATTTTTATCCCTAGTCCCACATGTCTCTTAATCACCAACATTTTCACCATATGCGTGCAAATAATGCACGTGGACACACATCTTCTACCATATGTACATGGACGTCGTTCAGTTTTCTTGCAAAGAATATTTGGTGAAAGTCCTTGACATGACTGGGTCAGGCCCTGGAGGCCAGGTGTGGTGGCTCCTACTTTGTTGACGGGCAGCTCTGGCACACAGCCAAATGGGGAAGAGGCGCGGATGGTGAGCAGCTGTGTTGGTTTAGAGGCCGGTGAGAAGAGTGAACTTGAGAACCTTTGGTGCCGTATTCCAACCACAGGTGAGACTTGGGCTGGGTTTTCTTTCTCAGCTCAGGTAATTTATGGGACTGTGACCAGCACTCCTTAAGCAGACTCAGTGGATTAAGATGAATTTGGGCAAGGATGTGAAGAGTGGAGTCTTTGCCTGAATGAAGGAATGCTCCTATCGGTCTAAAGAGCTAGGGTTTGAAACATAAAGAGCCCCATCATCACCCAGAGGTTGGTTAACTCTTGCTCAGATTTGTGACAGGACTTAGGAGTGATCAAGTCTCCACTCTTAAAATAGGCTTAAATCCCCCCGACACTGTCCCAGTACCGACCCCAGTTAAGCTCCTCCAGGTTCAACCATAAGCTGTCTGTCCCCCGAATGGTATTCTTGCTGCATCCTGCACTCTGGGCACTCTTGTCCCATCTTCCTGCATCCAAACCCTGCTGGGAGCCCTTCCCAGGCATGGCATGGTGAGAAGTTTACAGGATGGCCGAGTGGCTCCTCTGTGCATTAGCTCCATGACACTGAGAATCTTAAATTCCTCCACACCTGTGTAATCCCAAGGAAGATAATACCAATTATTTCCATTTTAATTGAGACTCCATTTTCCTTTTAGCTGTGCTTCATCAGGAGATTGTAATGTGTCAACAGAATGCTCAAAATACTCAAAGGTGGGCATTTTAATGCCCATTTTTCTCAAATAAGAAAACCGAGGCTCAGAGGTTAGCATTAATTTGGGCCACTAAGCAGGAAATGGCCAGAGACAAAATTCCAATCCAGAGGGCATTTGTTTTAATAATTTCACAGCCAAACCTTTTCTGTCTCATTATCCCTGCACCTTACAGATTTTAGTGAGGATTTCAAACGATGGGCATAAGTTACTCAGAACACAGTAGACGTTTGATAAAGTCTGATGGCTTTTTCTCAGCCCGGCTTGTCCATGTCATGCATCTGTCATCAACCTTAGCTGTCACAGGAGCGCCTTTCATTCCTGGATGCATGGTTTTACTCTTAGACAAAGGCTGAGGCAGTTTATGAGGCATAACTCTGGGGAGACTTTCCCCCCAATTCTCCTGCTCTTTCTTAGGGAGCAGTACAATGCCATCTATACTTAAACAACGGGACGCTTAGACATGCAAGGCTTCCCTACACACTAATGATTTATATTCAAATTCATCTTAAAATACCCAGAATGGGGGTTGGGAACTACCTTAGGTAATAGGCATGTAAGATAAATAAGAAAAATCTCCCTTCAATGCAGACTCTGAGACAGCAGCTGTCAATCATATGTGGCTCCTGAGCTCTTAGAAGGCAGCTGGTCTGTATTAGGATGTACCGCAAGTGTATGATGTGCACTAGATTGTCAAGATTTGCTATGTAGAAACAGTGTAAAGTGCCCCATGAATAATCTTTTGCATGGCTGCATATAGATACAAGAATATTTTGTTTATATTAAATTAATGAATATACCACTGAAATAAATTTCACCCATTTCTCTGAATGTGACTCCTAGGAAGTATACCACTCCACATGTGGATGGCACTGGGGTGTCCCTACAGCACCACTCCACATGTGGATGGCACTGTGGCGTCCCTACAGCACCACTCCACATGTGGATGGCACTGGGGC